TATATATATATATATATATATATATATATATATATATATATATATATTATATTGATGACTTGTTCAACCTTGAGGTAAATTTGATGAGACTTCCGCTCTTGGGAAACTTGGCCAAATCCTTAATGATTTACTTGTGTATTTTATTTTACTTTGCAACATTTTGGTCTCCAAAATATTTAAAAATATTGATGGGCAGGAACAGCGGCTTCTCAAAGGTTATTTGTGATGTTATTGCACCTTTTATTTAACACACACTTGTATGCTCCAGAGCATGGAAGTGGTCACACAGATGATGATCAGTTAATCAATACATTTGATCAGCAGCACCTGGCAGCTAATTTTCTTGTGAAAGTCAATTGTGGACAGAGTTTTTCTCCACAAACCTATTCTCATTTGGATTCACTTATGTGGACATGGTGGGATGTGCTGTTTGGACACTAGAAGTCAGATTTGAATAACTGTAGAACCTGGTAAAGACTAGACTATGTTAACATCTGATATTCTATGCACTAATATTCAAAACAAAACAAAAAAAAACCCAACTAGAATAAGGTGTACTTTTGCCCTATGAGAGCAAGTTGCTAAGCCAATGCTGGTTTATGTTATATTATATCTTATAATCATAAAATACAAATTATTAAGTACAATCCAAAAAAGTTCAATCTGGTCCTCTGGACATTCAAAAAAACAAAAAACAAAAGCAAAACAAAGCAAAAATAATTCTAGAAACGTTTCGTCTCTCATCCAAGAGACTTCCTCAGTCTGAGGTGCTGTTTTCAGCTCAGTCTCTTAAATAGCACCATCTCAGAGTGGATCAACCAGTTTGCTGCTGACAACCAAAACCAGCTGATCACATGCTCAAGAAGGACCATCGGCCTAACAATGGGTCATTAGCACACTGATGGCTGTTTACTATTCACAGAGGGCTGAGTGATACTAGCAATCACAGCATTGTAAGAGGGGGACAGTTGAACCCGGAGGCCTCCACCCCTGTTTAATGATGGACGATTTCTTTTCACAAAGATGGCCTCCTTTACTCCTCTCTCAAACCATCGTTCCTCTCTGTCCAGGATGTGAACATCTTCATCCCTGAAAGAGTGACCGCTGGCCTGGAGATGAGTGTAGACCGCAGAATCCTGGCCTGATGATGTTGATCTTCTGTGCTGGGCCATCCTTTTGGCCAGTGGCTGTTTAGTTTCCCCGATGTAAGACTGATCCAGAGGACCAGATTGAACTTTTTTGGATTTTTCTACCTGGATTATTGAGCATTCATCAAGATATTAAGTACAATGTTGTATTTAAAAAAAAAAAAAAAAAAAGGGCGCAAGAAAAGAAAAAAACAAAACAATGCAGAGAATAATTTTAAGATCTTTGAGTGCAGGCCTGCTGTTGACTACATGTATTGTCATATATCCTGTCTGTAAACTGTTTGATCCTTACAATACACGAAGGCTGACATCTTGACATCCTGTATTTGTATCTGACGTTTTGTGAAAATCCATACCACTATCTTATCAGTGCGTGTCAGTTGTTTCAGTGAAAAACAGCAGACATGACAGCCTCACATTCACATCTGACTCTTAGAAATCACATTTTTTCTGAAACAAAAGCAAATAATCAACAATATCACAAATAAAACAAACAAGACAGTGACTGAATCTTTCCAACTGCATGTGGAAAAAGTCATATTTGTGCAAAAGTAATCAAAGTTACAATGAAACAAGTCCAAAAGTGACTGGGTGATAGGACAACAGAGGGAAAGAGGGTATAAATGGAAAAACTGGGGCTTATACCTGTTCTCAAGTTCATTCATTAGTCAAAGAAAGTCAAGTCTTAATGTTTGACTAATGTCTGCTTACTGGAGGGGTGCAGCCCTGCAGGAGAGGATGTTGTGCAGGTACACTCCACTCTGATGTCATCTGAAAGCCTCTCAGAAAGTCTCTACATTCAAGTTCAGTTTTGCTTTGGAAGCCAGCAACATACATGTCCTTGTTGATAATTCAATAAATCTAACATTTAAAAGAAAAACATAGGTTCTATGTTCATATCCTTACTTTAGCAACAAAACGTCTGTAGGTGAAAAAAACAAAGAAAATAAACAAAAGACGATAATAGAAACTGTACATTGAACTGGACACACACAGCCTTTTGAGTTTAGACCTAGAAGGAAAAGAAAAAAATATATCAAGGAGAGTAGTATTTCTATACATTTCTATTGTGTAAATTTCTGTGTAACAAAATATTTATTGTCAAATTGCCATCAAATATTAAATAATAATTATGAGCAATTATTGTATAACAGTTATAAACACAGGAATCTGTGTCATACATTTAAAAAAAGAACACTGGCAATTTTTAAAGGGTGATTTTTCTTTGAGTTTTGTAATGTAAATATGAAAATATTATAAAATGAGGATTCTAAAAATAATAACACAGTTAAAGGTAAAGTCATACAGGTACTTATTGTCACTTGGGATATTGGGAAAAGCTACCTCATAATTGGTGTCTCACTGTGTTTTAAACTTGCACATGAAAGTTTTGCCAAGACCCTTCAAAGACCATCCACTTCCTGCCTCATGTTTTACATGTAGTGTGTTGTCCATTCAGTGTGAAGTGGTATTTTACGTGCTTGTCTTAGTAAAGACCCCAAACTATTACACATGTTTTTGATTTATTGTACTCTTTTTGTCTAAACTTCATTGAATTTCAATCAAGTAATTATTTAAAAAAATGTTTTACATTTTACACATTTTCCATTTCATTTAAGCAACATAATTGTCTTTAACTGTTATCTATCATGGTGCACAAAAATTCATAACTAGCTGTGATTACCGTACCCACCACTGCACCTGTATTCACTGGTTAACTGGTCATCATTAACGTCACACAGACTCTCTCACGGGTACATTTTCATCTTTAAATCACTTCTTGATCTGTTGCCTTCATACGTCTCCTCCTACATGTCTCTGCCTGAGTGCAGCTACAGCGTGCGCTCTCAGGACATTATTACCTGCAGTGTCCCCTCAGTGAGAACTGAACTAGGCAAAAGGGTCTTCTCCTATTCTGCTCCTGTTTCCTGGAATATCTTGTAAAAAGATCTGAAGCTCTCGACCTTGACCTCTCTAAGTGGCTTTAAACATCTGCTAATTTTCTGGCAAAAACCAATGCAGACATGTTCCTGCTTTTAGTTTTCTACATCGTCTTATAATCTAGCTGTTTTTTTTTCCGTTTGACTGTCCTTTTGGTTGCCATTTTATTTTAATTTGTATTTTTTTTTTTTATCTGTATGCTTCTTTTATGATTGTCTATTGTTGTTGTTGTTGTCCACTGTTGTCATCATTCTTTGTTAAAATCAGGTCTCTCTTGTACTTTGTAAATGAGTCCCTGAGGCTCAATGGGATTAACCTGTCTAAATAAAGATTGAATGGATGAAACTATTGTTTAATTTAAGTTTTTACTTTATTTTTATGTCAAGCATTTTGTAATTCTTCATTGTAAAGCCACACAAAGACTATCTTCACTAATTAAAGGTGCTTTAGGAGTTGTAAACATACCATAAGCAATGTTTACCTGCAACTATATTTCAGTCACACCAATGCACTATTTAGTAAAACAAAGCACAGGTGGAATATACTGTTTTCTTTACGTTTCTAGTCTTTTGTTGTTTTTGTTTTATGATGTATGTTTATTTCACTTTTCGTGTCTTCTAGAGAACATGTTCAAGCTACAGTAAAGTCCATATACTACATCAGTCACTCAGGGGATTAGTTACACTGTCTTACTGCTCTGCCTATTTCCAACTTTAATAATTTATGTGCTTCAGAGTCTTTGAAAACTTACTGGACATTTTTGGTATGCGAATGGGGCCACTGCTGGCACCCTCCCCCCCTTCAGTCAAAGCTTTGATCTCTATTAGGTAGTCCTCTCCAGAAGGGATTTGCAGTTCCACATTGGTCTTATTGGTTTCAAGTACTGTAGTTCGAGCATGCCAGCTCTGTCGATACACAACCTGAATGAGAGCAGGGATCTTGGATTAAAAATACAGAACACACTTCAAAGCAGAGATTTGAACATGACACATGCGTGAGGAAGTTTGTCCCTCTCTTGAAAAGGTTATGAGGTCAGAATGCCTTGCAAGGAGATGATGTGTCCCGATGACTCAACACAAATAACAGCCAGGGCCTCCGGCATGCATTTTTTTAAATATTTAGTCATGCATTTTCATTGTTATGGAAATGTTCTTTCCCTTCAAGTACAGCATGATTACTTAAAGAAAAAAGAAATAAGTTGTCTCACTGTATACACTTTTGCATTTGCTAAATTAATAAACTGGTCTTGTCTGCAGCACATGCACACACTTAAAACAAAGCCCCACAAAAGACTTATCTTTAAATGACCAGGCCTGCATTTCTCACATTAATAAATATATATTTGTAAAAAAAAAAGCATTATCAAAAGCAGTGTTTTTTTTTTCCATTCAAAGTATGCAAAGTGGAAGAAATATGATTCATTGTTGTCTTGGTATGAAGAAGCTGAATTCTCTCTGTGCAATGACGCCCTTCAGTTTATCACCCAGAACAGATCTTTTAATTTTGAAAGGCCAGACAGGGCCAATCCATATTGTAACACTGAGGTGCTAAGGTCTATCTTTCTACTGCAATGAGAAAGCCATTTGTTGAGATGACAGCTGCTGTGGCTGTATTTGTTTTCACCAGCGCTGGACTTTCTGCTTTTTTCTCTGAGAAGCTCACCTTGTATCCCATCACCTTGGACTCATTCTGCATTGCCTTGACGTGTTCCCACTTCAAAATGATCTTCAAGTTGGTCAGGTTCCATTTAATGCCCCTAGGAGGATGACTTGGCGCTGCAAGATATGCAGTTAAACAAACACAAGGTTGGCAAATGAATTAATAAACAAATGATTTTTAATGCTAATTTTTAACTCTATAATATGTTATAATTTAATCAAAGAGAATTTTCATTGAATCTGATTTACCTAATATATCTTAAACATAAGGTTGAAAAATATTAAATATTTTTATATTTAGATTTATTTATTTTATTATAACAAGAACAATCCAATTGAGACTTCAAATTTATTTTACAAGGAAGTCCTGACCAAGACAGCAGCTTAATGATTTCACAATAACAACACGACAAAATTTCAACAAACATAAAACAAATCACTTAAAACATTTGGCAACTCATTAAAGTAGTATAATTGCTTGTAGCTATTAGTAACAAGGCATGTGCCTTTAGTATTCAAATGGTTCTTAATCTTACTTTAAAAAAATCCACATATAGCAGGTGGTCCAATTTCAGTTCTTTTTAATATATAAACTATATATTTTAAATATGCTAAAGCCAAAAAACATTTTGTCAAACCGAGGAATGCAGAGTAACATGGGGAGCTTGAGTAAAACCAAATCAGTGTATTACAACTAAAAACAAAAAGGTGTCATGACAGCAAAAACAAACATAAACAGAATAATAATCACAGGTAGACACAAGAAGAACCAGACATGGCACAAAGGACACAGATGCTCAACTGATGAGTGGAATGGAGCTGGGGGTTCAAAATGAATGATAAGAAGAGAGGTGCTGCTGTGACTACAAAAACAGGGAACAGGTGTAAATGGTGACAGGCTGACTGTGCAAATATTCTTCTTTTGGTTGTTCTCTTTTCTAAGGTCGGCACAGAGAGTCCTCCTCCTCCATCTAACTCTGTCCTCTGCAACCTTTGTCCCCACACCAACTATATCTCTAACTGCATCCATAGATCTCCTCTTTGGCCTTCCTCTGTCTTTTCCTGACAGAAGTATTTCTAACATCCAATTTAAATTAATTTTATAAATAGCATCAAGTCACAACAGAAATTGTCTCAGGGTACTGTACAAAAAACATCCACATACAATAAAAGCCAATTACTAAAAGTTATCTATGTAAGGAAGCCAGCAGATTGCGTTGGATCGTCACTTGTCACATTGTCAATCACAAAGGCAACAGTGGAAAGGAAAAAGTCTCTTTCAACAGGAAGAAACTTCTAGTAGGGCCAGGCTCAGGATGAATGGCCATCTGCTTCAGCTGGCTGGGGTTTGAGAGGACAGGAAGGAGACACAAACAAACACAGAATGACAGGTCCAGATGTAGTTTCTATAGGAGGAAAGACAAAAAAGCCCATTAAGGACAGAAATAATTACAAATACAAAACAAGGAGAGTGGAGCAAGTAACGACAGCAGCAGAACGTGTTAGGATTTTCTAGGCAGGAGCGAACCCAGTAGTGCAGACAGGGACTCAACTCGGCAGAATACAAAAATAGGTATTTGATGATAAAATAAAGATACAAAATAACAGGCTGACGGGGCAGCAAAACTTACATGAACAGGAAGATAAGGCACGGGAAACACAGGAGGACTCAGGGGACACGAAGACTCAGGAAACTCGGAAGACTCGGGGGAACACAGGAGACCCAACGAGTACGACGCGACAACGAACAAGACTGACAGACGGCTTATATACAGGGACAAGACGAGACGTGATTACAAACAGCTGGGACGAGACAATGGTGGCACTAATATAACTAACGAGGGAGCACTAGGGAACACAGACACAAACCGGGCCACAAAAAAGTACCATCCTTACAGTACCCCCCCCCCCCCCCCCCAAAGGACGCCCCTAGGCGTCTGCCCAAAAAAAACCCTCCCGAAGGACTTGGGCGGGTGGAGGGCGGCACTGCAAGGGTGGAGGGCCCGAGGATAACACGAGGAAGAAACCAAAGATCTGAGAAAGACTATGACTAACCACAAGGAGGGAACACAAAGAATCTGGACGGTCAAGGGACCGTCCCTAGAAGTCATTGTTCCGGCGGGCGGCCGGGAGGCCGTCCATCAAGGCGGGCCGGGGGGGGCGGCCGGGAGGCCGTCCAATACATAGGACCAGAGAGACCGCGGCAGGCGGCGATGAGGACTTGGAGAACGCGGCAGGCGGCGATGAGGACTTGGAGAACGCAGCATGCGTCAAGGAGTCCTGGGGAGCTACAGCATGTGTCAAGGAGGCCTGGAGCTCTGCAGCAGACGACGGAGAGACCTGGAGCTTTGCAGCAGATGACGGAGAGGCCTGGGGCTCTGCAGCAGAAACGGGAACAGAGTCTTCTGCGGCAGGAACGGAAACCTCTGCGGTAGGAACAGGAACTGAATCTTCTGCGGCAGGAACGGAAACTTCTGCGGCAGGAACGGGGTCTTCTGCGGCAGGAACAGAATCTTCTGCGGCAGGAACGGGGTCTTCTGTGGCAGGAACAGAATCTTCTGCGGCAGGGACGGAGTCTTCTGCGGCAGGGGCAGGAACAGAATCTTCTGCGGCAGGAACGGAGTCTTCTGCGGCAGGGGCAGGAACAGAATCTTCTGCGACAGGAACGGAGTCTTCTGCGGCAGGAACAGAATCTTCTGCGGCAGGAACAGAGTCTTCTGCGGCAGGAACGGAAACAGGAACTGAATCTTCTGTGGCAGGAACAGAGTCTTCTGCGGCAGGAACGGAAAAAGGAACTGAATCTTCTGCGGCAGGAACGGAGTCTTCTGCGGCAGGAACGGGAACAGAATCTTCTGCGGCAGGAACGGAGTCTTCTGTGGCAGGAACAGGAACAGAATCTTCTGCGGCAGGAACGGAGTCTTCTGTGGCAGGAACGGAAAGAGGAGCAGGAACTGAAACGGAGTCCTCCTGGACCCCCTCGGAACAGGAGAGGTAAGGAGCGTCAGTTTGGACCTCCTCGGAACAGGAGAGGTGAGGAGCGTCTGTCTGGACCTCCTCGGAGCAGGAGAAGTGAGGAGCGTCTGATGGGACCCCCTCGGAGCAGGAGAAGTGAGGAGCGTCCGACGGGACCCCCTCGGAACAGGAGAGGTAAGGAGCATCTGTCTGGACCCCCTCGGAGCAGGAGAGGTGAGGAGCATCCGACAGGACCCCCTCGGAACAGGAGAGGTGAGGAGCATCTGTCTGGACCCCCTCGGCGCAGGAGAAGTGAGGAGCGTCTGTCTGGACCCCCTCGGAGCAGGAGAAGTGAGACGCCCTCGGAGCTGGAGAAGTGAGGAGCGTCTGTCTGGACCCCCTCGGAGCAGGAGAAGTGAGGAGCGTCTGTCTGGACCCCCTCGGAACAGGAGAAGTGTCTGTCTGGACCCCCTCAGAGCAGGAGAGGTGAGGAGCGTCTAACTGGACCCCCTCGGAACAGGAGAGGTAAGGAGCGTCCGACGGGACCCCCTCGGAACAAGAGAGGTGAGGAGCGTCCGACGGGACCCCCTCGGAATAGGAGAGGTGAAGAACCACCTCGGGGGCTGCGTGCAGTGTGGGATCCACCTCAGGGGCTGCGTGCAGCGTGGAATCCACCTCAGGGGCTGCGTGCAGCGTGAAATCCACCTCAAGGGCTGCGTGCATCGTGGAATCCACCTCAGGGGCTGCGTGCAGCGTGAAATCCACCTCAGGGGCTGCGTGCAGCATGGAATCCACCTCAGGGGCTGCGTGCAGCATGGAATCCACCTCAGGGGCTGAGTGCAGCGTGGGTTCAGAGATGGCAGTGACAACAGGGGTTTTTAAAGTCCCTATCTTAGTTAGTAAAAGATTGTACTCGGGAAGCCAAGAAAGACCAGGAATAGATAATAAAAAATCTTCCATCTGGGACAACACAATGTCGATGGAAGCCGGGTTAGCTTTAGCTAAATGGAATAACTCTAGTAAGGTTTGATTAATTTGCAAAATTTCTTCGGGTGAAAATGAGTGTAAAAAGGGAATATCTCTATGTAGGGGTGTGGTGACGGGTGCCGCCCCCACCGGAGACCTGGAAGGTGAGGCGGCGGAACACGCCCTCACCGAGTCACTGGGAATACGCTCGGGAGGTACGGTCAGGCTGGGTCGGACAGCCGCGGCGCAGAGTGGCGGTGAGAGGCCGGATTCCGCCCCCACCAGGAACCTGGAAGGTGAGGCGATGGAACCCGCCCCTGTGGCGTCAAGTGGACCGGACTCATCGAACCGAACAGGAGTGGACCGGAGCTCCCGCGGGACGCTGGATCTCGCCCCCACCGGAAACCTGGGAGGTGAGGCGGCGGATCCCGCTCCCACAGAAACAATGGAACCAGCTCTAAAATTCTGCTCAGCCGACGAGACCGGGCCGGTCACCATGCACTGCCTCCGAAACCATTTTCTGCCACTACGGCGGCAGTGGGACGGCAGAAGGACAGGGACCGAGTGGAGCTCGTCCATCTATGGCTCGTGGAGGGAAAAAGAAAAAAGGTGAGTTTGCCGAGAGAGACCCTGCCCGCTGGGTTCTGGTCTGGTTGCGTCATAATGTTAGGATTTTCTAGGCAGGAGCAAACCCAGTAGTGCAGACAGGGACTCAACTCGGCAGAATACAAAAATAGGTATTTAATGATAAAATAAAGATACAAAATAACAGGCTGACAGGGCAGCAAAACTTACATGAACAGGAAGATAAGGCACGGGAAACTCAGGAGGACTCAGGGGACACGGAAGACTCAGGAAACTCGGAAGACTCGGGGGAACACAGGAGACCCAACGAGTACGATGCGACAACGAACAAGACTGACAGACAGCTTATATACAGGGACAAGACGAGACGTGATTAGGAACAGCTGGGACGAGACAAGGGTGGCACTAATAGAACTAACGAGGGAGCACTAGGGAACACAGACACAAACCGGGCCACAAAAAGGTACCATCCTTACAGAACGAGGAAATGTGGTCATTTTGTCATCCAGCAGTCTACGCCTATAGCAGCAGAACTAAGGGATAGCTCAGGAAACCCAAGCCAATCCTAACTATAGGATTTATCAAAAAGGAAAGTCTTAAGCCCAGTCTTAAAACTGGATAATGTGTCAGTGTCACAGATAGAAACTGCAAGTTAGTTCCACAAGAGAGGAGCCTGATGCCTGATTCTGAGCCTGATTTTTTTTTTTTTCCCTCCCTGGCTCTCATCGAGGTAACTGCTTCTGTCATCCCTCCTCCGTTTTTCCTTCTTCCTGCTCTGCTCTCTGTGTGTCTGAAGTGCCTGGTTCACATCTCCCTAACATAAATTAAGAAGATTATGGATTTGGTATCGTGGGCGTTCAACACTATTGATAAGATTTTTCCATCAATACAACAATGTCCTGGAGAACCAGCATGTCCAGCTGAGACTCATGCTGTGGGGTACGTCATGGATTCATGGGGAGTGTGGCAGTTGATTTGCCTTTCAGTTCTGTCTCAGGAGGATGTTGAAGACGTTTACATATTTGGAATTATGATAGCAGGGACTCTGCTTTTTGGCATCGGTGGGGCTCTGTTTTATCGAGTTTTGAAGAAGACATCGGTAGCAATTTCGGCCATGGAAAAGCTTCCGAGTCAGTGTGAAGGTTTGGTCCGTGCAGTAGGAACTTTAAATCATCTGGTTTACGAGCTTAACCGTAAGGTGGAGGCGATTTATGAGAATCGCAGGACACTTGCGGCTTCTGGGACTCATCAGTGTGGTGGGTTCGACCTTGAAGGAGACTCATAGCATGGATCAGTGGAATGGAATCCCACAATTAGGCATTTTCGGAACCAGAACGCCCAGATGGACTCAAGGCTGGAAAAAAGTAATCTTTGCCAGAAGAAAAACAAGAATCAAGCTTATCTAAATCTGACTCCCAACGGCCTCAGAGACGGGCTGAATATCAAATTTCTCCTGGGTCATGAGTACCCATGGACAAAAGCTTCATCTATCGCCCCACCCCCACCCCCCACCCCCCAGAACTTTATGTGCAAGCTTATCAGAACTGCTGGCTGGAACATCTTCAGAAACTGTGGCTGATCTGAAAAAACACTCATGGACAAATCTCAACACCTTGATGTCAAATGCAAATGTAATCATGTCTTAATTGTGCTGCTGGTAGAGTTTTTTTGATGTCTCAAATCGTGTCCTGATCGACAAGATGTGAAAGATCTTTTTTTGTAATACCCTCATGTTTCTCCCCCTTTTCCTATCTAAGATTACTATCTGATAAGGATAAGAAGGCCGTGCTTTCTATAGTTGCAGCTTCGTGCACTCCGCCCATCTTTCGAACGACTGTACGTACATATTTGCGTTGTATCTCGGTGCAAGGCCAATAAAGTTTATTATGATTCTGATGACTGAAAGCTCTGCCTCCCGTTCTGCTTTTGGAAACTCTAGGAACCACTGACAACCAAAATTAGCTGCTCACATGGTCAAGAAAGACCATCAGCCTAACAATGGATCATTAGCACACTGCCCAAGGAGCTAATATCCTCTGACTGATTACTTTCTTTTTCAGCTGAGCAATTTTATCAAGTGAAGTTTGCACTGAAGTTGTAAAATTATCAAACAGATCATCAAAGTCACTGCTCTCTACAGCATTACTCTGCAAGACAGAGGGATACAAAAATGGGAAAGATTCTTTAAATGTGTTTACAGCATTTTCTGATAAACACCTACTATAATTAAATTTACTTTCATTGGTTGTGTAGTCAGTTAATGTAAACTCAAATGTTATTTAAAAATGGTCAGACAGAACAGGATTGCGAGGATGTATTACTAAGTACTGTTTTGATTAATTTGTGGCAACCTAGCAATACTCTAGTTCACACTACATGCTTTAAAGTAAATGTTTAAATATATTGTGTTTTTACTACCATTGTTTTCATTGTTTTGTTGTTTTCAGTAAACTACAAGGCAGATACACAGAAGTGTCACAGGATAATAGATGTCAAGTTATGTAATAAGAGTTATTGGTGTATACAGAAATTAAAGTCAGATTATTTAAACATGTACTGCAGACAATTTATTATTCAGTGTGCAAACAAATAAGCTGTACACAAGACAATAAATACAATTTAAAAAGACACCTATGAAAACTGAAATGCTGGCTAAAAATATGTGTCAGGGTGAATTGCAGTTAGGAGCTGCACTTTCTGAAAAACAATATAAATACTCAACATTCTAAATAATATTGCCAATAACTAATAGTATGGCCATCAATCATATTTTGCTCAATTTAGACTAAATTCTGTAAGTAATAATAAAGTGATCCATGCTCCCCTAAAACCACCTCGGATATTTTTATGCTTTCTATGTAGAGCACCAAAACAAAAATTAAAAGAACTCATCCAAAGTCAAAAAAGCAAACTGATCACATTTTGTGTGTTGGGTTCAAACTCACGTGGTTTCTTGGTGGTGATATTAAAAAAGGGGCTCCAGGGTCCAAATCCAGCACTGTTCTGGGCTCTGACTGCGATCTGATAAAGTGTGCTGCCCTTCAAACCGGAGAGCAGAGCTGAGCTGTTGATAACTTTCACTCCGTTTGCCTTACTCTGCTCAAACCCCTCTGCCCAAATGAGGACCTAAAACAAATGAACACGGGTTAGCACAGGCTTTAAGTGGTGGTGATGATGACAGTTGTTTTATTTTTCCTGCACAGCTGCAGGAAGAAAAGCTTTGCAGAGAGTGGTGAAGGCCAGGGATGTGCGAAATGGCATCAAATTTATATCACAATATGTATTGTGAAGGGTGGCGATAATGATATATCACAATATGTTTTTGGTATAAAACTTGCAATAGGAATGGAAAAAAAAGACATAGGGTGTCCTTTTGCCATAATTTATTTTGAAAACTGCTATACCACAAAATAATCTCAATTAAGAAAATTCCACTACTAGGTCCAGAGAGCTTTTAAATAATAAACAAATCAAGTATTAGGCTTCTTTCTTGTAGTACAAGATATCAAACATAGTCATATGTTTTCAACAAAATAATATTTTGTTAACTCAACAGTTTCCAGTCTTCTTACTTAAGAAATGAACAGCAACAGCGCAGCATTTTACACGGAAAACACTTAATCCTCCAACCCGCTAGTGGGTGTCTCCTTCAACTTTAAGAAGAACTGACACAAAATGGCGACCAGTTTCCTCTGTGGCTTTGACCAGAGGATCTCACAGTAAAATCACACAACACAGCGTTCTTTTCACAGATCAGAGAGCAGGTTTCTCTAAAGCTGACCAATGATTACTTTAACTTTCGACGGAAAAAAAAAACAACTTTCGACGGAACACAATGTTTTGCGCATGCGTACGAATACGGCAACACTATGGCAAGTCGGACGTAGTTAGCTTGTAGCTTCGCTACTTAGCTCTCAAAAAAAATATTGTAGTGTTCTAAAGGGCTAGGTTAGCTTCAGAGCTTCACTACAATTATTTTTAAATAATGAGTTCTCTCTTTTTCAAGCTACTTACTGATATGTGACAGAGGTACTGTGCGTAGATGGTTTAATCAGTGACATGAGACGTTAATTTTCTTTGACCAATCAAAATAAATGTGGTCATTTATTAACAGAATCAAAATTTAACATCAAAACATTGTACACTTGATTAGACTGATCTGGTTCTGATTAATAAAACTTGGCACGTTTTACTTAATAAAACCAACAGACATTTCTGAAGACCTCTAGATTAATTACTGGCAAGATAGCAGTTTAAAAATGGGAAATTATGGAGGAGTTTAAAGGAAGATGTGGAGGAAGATTTATGTCTGTAGACCAGAACAACACGCTCCTTTCAAGCGCAGTTCACCCGCGGTACACTTGTAGTGAAGCTCGTGACGACTCTTTACCTTGGCAGAGGATGGGTCCGCTACGGTCAAGAGGTCCCTGGCACGCTACCTTTCAGCATCTGCTCAGGGAGGCTGCGACTCGGCAGAAGTCGTGAGATACTCCGTTCTACAGAACAAACTTCCTCAGAAGTTGTAGGGCATTCGCCTGGTGGAGCCACAGCGCGGCGCCGTGACTCCTGCAGAGATGGATGACTCCATCAGACTGGAAAACTGAGTCCGAAGTTCCACTCAGCAGTGGAAAAACTCCAGAACTCCAGAACAGCTAGAACTCCCCCAGAACCTCAGAAAACTCTAGAAGACATTACTCCAGCAGACTCAGAAGACTCAGAAGAACTCAGCCGACTCAGAAGACTGAGCAGACATTACTCCACAGACTCAGAAAAACTGACAGTTCCAGGAAGTGTCGACTTTTAAAGAGTTCTGCTTCTGGTCACTTTTAGGAAGTCCTGATTGGTTGAAGCAACCAACAAGGGTGTGGTTCTAGTGACGTCAAAGGGTTTTTACAAGTCAAGAAAAAAGCAGAAATGTTTAGGAACAGACAGAGAAATGTTTTGGCGAAGTGAGAAACACTGAAGGTGCCCGTTCTCTTATTTAATGTCTGAGAGTTTTAAAAACACGACAGCCCGTTCCAACAACTTGTTTTTGACTGTCTCCGACTTTTGACCGACATCACTCCTTCTCATTTCAGACAGAAGATCAAAATGCATAATTACTTTGTAAAATAGACATTTAACTTGATTTCTAATTTAAATGATTAAAAAATCATTAATACCGTTTCACAGTTGATTTAAAATGAGTGGTTCACTTCAACATTTAGAAATGGTATGAACTAAACACACTTTTGATTATCAAGATATTGTAAAATAGTGATGATAATATAAAAAAGAGAGTGTTCTTTCAATTGATTAGTTCAGGATACAATTAGACAGTCTCTGGATGAGCTAATTTGTATTTCTGGATTCAAATCAATGAAATAACAGTTCCTGTCCCATGAAGGTCTTCAGAGGCAGGTTTTGGTCAGAGGCCTAGTCCACTACAATATTTTAACACTACTTACGCACAGTTTTCAACCAAAAAAAGTAAAGATTAAATTTGACAACTATGATTTTACGTCAGACACAGCATTATTGCGGTTAGTCGGTAGACGACAGATCTCTATCGTAGGCTAAATGTCTATCGTTTCTACCCTGTATCGTATATATCACACATTCCTAGTGAAGGCTGCACAGAAGTCTGATGGAGTCAGCCTCCCCACCATCACAGACATCTACACCTCCAGATGCAGGAAGAGGGCCACCTGCATCATGAAGGACTCCAATTACCCAGCACATACACTTTTTGCCCCGTTCCCCTCAGGAAGGAGGTTAAGGAGCATTAAGTGTAGAACCACTAGACTGAGGAACAGCTTCTACCCTGAGGCTGTTAGACTTATGAATATCTAACCAGAATAATCACTGTGAAAAATTAGATCATGTTGCTGCTGATTTATTTCGTTCTGCTGTGTTCATGCGTACTCATTTACTCATATAGACTCATGTTCATGCTGCTGTTCATTCAGTGTATTGTTTTATACTATTAGTGCTGAGTGTATTTTTATTAACATTTTTCTTAGTTCATATCTTATATTTTATGACTGTTTTTCTTTTACATTTTATACTTTTGATAGATGTAACTGGGACCCTGTGTACACAATTCCGTTCCACCACATGTACCATATGTGGTGTGTATGACAAATAAAGAACATTGAATTCTTGAATCCTTGAATTTTACATATGCAAATACACAACCCTAGCTTAGTTTTCCAAGTTTGTATCATTCATGTACATTCACTAATCTATGGACGTAAGCAAAGCTCATTCAGCTACAGTGTGTAGCTGTCTGTTAACAACATCTCTTATAAATCATGAAATACATTTTAATGACACTTGAAAATATTCAATAAATGTACATCTGCAATTGATTAACTTTTGGAGTCAATAAAATATAAGATAACTGCCACAGCGTTCTGATCCCGAAACACAGGTATTACTATCCTGATGCATGCTCAATAATCCAGGTAGAAAAATCTAAAAAAGTTAAATCTGGTCCTCTGGACATTCAAAAAAAAAAAACAAAGCAAATCAACAAAAAAATATAGAAACGTTTCGTTTCTCATCCGAGAGACTTCCTCAGTCTGAGGTGCTGTATTCAGCTCAGTCTCTTAAATAGCACCGTCTCAGAGTGGATCAACCAGTTTTGCTGCTGACAACCAAAACCAGCTGATCACATGCTCAAGAAGGACCATCAGCCTAACAATGGATCATTAGCACACTGATGGCTGTTTACTGTTCACAGAGGGCTGAGTGATACTAGCAATCACAGCATTGTAAGAGAGGGACAGTTGAACCCGGAGGCCTCCACCCCTGTTTAACGATGGACGATTTATTTTCACAAAGATGGCCTCCTTTACTCCTCTCTCAAACCATCGTTCCTCTCTGTCCAGGATGTGAACATCTTCATCC